CAAATACGAAAATCCCGATGAAAGCGTGCAAATTTCAATCAAATATAATTCAGAAAAAGAAAAGAAATCAAAATTTGCATCAAGGCGAATGAAACGCGCACAGAAACTTGAAATGTTTGAACCCACTATATGTCTGCTATCCCCCCAGCGCTATCACCGCAATAAGAAAGCGTTATTTCTATCAACTGCTGTCTACCTCAATACCCTAAACCCTAAACCCTAAACCCTAAACGCCGCTTTCTACGCAAATTCCTCATCACTCGCGAAATAAAATGAAGCATTTTATGAATTTTTTCGTTGATATTTTCATGAATTGCGGTGTATCGCGAGGTAGCTTTTCTCTCTTTTGAGAGAAATAACAGCTCGCTTGAGCCAGACGTACTGCAGAGAGGAATATCCGGGCAAAGCCCCGTTTCCACCGTGCCTGTGAAATTCAGATAACATCAAAGAAAAAATTCAGCAATACAGCACATGCACGGTGTGCAAGGGCGTCAGCAACAGATTAAATAAATAAATAAAATAAATATAATATAATATATAATAATATCAATATAATTCAAATAATTTAATATTCTCACCAAAAAAAGAATATTCACTGCACGTTGCAGACACCCTCCCCTCCTCAAGCATGTCACGAGTCCGTATTCGCAGAGAAGTGCCTCGGTCAGCAATATTCCCAATACAGCTGCAGCCGCATACAAGTGCAATACAATATACAATTTCTGCTTTAAAAACACAACTAGTGTACGAAACAACAGCCAAAATAAAGTATATTCTATGTACGTATACACCCTGCGTTTTGATATTTTTTTATAGTAAACCATCAACTCGAACGGGTTTCACACTCAAGGGGGTTTGTTTAGGTTCTTGCATAGTATTAGCCCAACACCACTTTGTATCATTTCAGCAGCAGATCAGCTTCACTCATACAATAAGATGCATCAGCTGTCAACTATGAAAGAGTTGTAAACAGCAGGCAGCTAAACAGCTCTTCTAAACAAACACTCTGATGTCCTCCTCAACAACCCCAACAGCAGCAACGGCAGCAGCAGCGACAGCACTAACACTAGCATCAGCAGCAGCAGCAGCAAAAGCAGCAGCAGCAGCAGCAGTACTAGCATTGCTGGTAATACTTGTTGTGTATTCAGCAGCCGCTGGAATTTCACTACTGCATACCTGGCTGTACACGCCGACCACTCGCTCCACTCGCCGAACTCACACTTGGGTCTTTTTTCTGTGAAACAAACGAAAGTGCAA